AGTTTATTCCTTTGTCGGTCTACTTTCAAGGAATGCTCAGAATTTTTAAAATGCCTTAAGTTGTATGGGCAAGCATCAGGACAGGAAATCAACTTTCAAAAGTCAGCGATTACATTCGACAAAAAGATGGACCCGTATATGAGGCGAATGATTGGCCTATACACCGGAATAGAACAAGAAGGCGGCGAAGGTAAGTATTTGGGGCTGCCAGAGTGTTTTAGTGGTTCAAAGAAGGATTTATTACATTTCATTACAGATCGTCTCAAGTAAAGGCTTAGCGGATGGTATGAAAAAACATTGTCTCTTGGCGGTAAAGAGGTTTTACTTAAATCTGTTGCCATGGCTTTACCGGTATATGCGATGTCGTGTTTTTGATTAACCAAGCACCAATGCAAACAAATAACCAGTGCAATGACCAATTTCTGGTGGAACGCATGTGAAGAGAAAAACAAAATGCATTGGGTATCATGGGAAAAGATCTGCAAATCGAAAAAACAGGGTGGTTTAGGTTTCCAGGGCATTGGCCGGTTTAATCAAGCATTGTTAGCCAAACAGGCATGGAGGTTGATAGATTCACCACAGTCGTTATTAGGTCAAGTCTACAAAGCTAGATATTTTGCCACAAAACCCTTCTTGGAAGCAAAAATTGGCTATAGACCATCGTACGCTTGGAGGAGTATTATGTTCGGGAAGGAACTACTGGAGCGTGGACTAATGAAAACGATTGGTAATGGACAAGACACTTATGTATGGGCAGACAAGTGGATCCTTGATGACTTCCCGAGAAGACCAATCAACAAGGAACTTATGATGGATATTAATCTCAAAGTTTCGACGTTAATAACACCGCATGGTGTTTGGAACAAGACTTTGTTAAATACTCTGTTTCCACAAGAAGATGTGACGACAATTTGCTCTTTTCCACCAGCTGTGAATTTACATGATCGATCTGTATGGGCTTATACTTCAGATGGAAGATATTCAGTGAAAAGTGGAAATTGGGTTCTTAATCAGGAAGCTGCAGCTATGGAAATAATATCAGGGAACCTGCGTGCTAACAACAAGATTAAGGAAAAGGTTTGGGACATTCCAACGGCTCCAAAAATTAAATTGTTCCTTTGGCGGGTTCTGTCAGGAGCAGTTGCAGTAGCAGAATGTTTACGTAATCACGGGCTGCAGGTTAATCCGATTTGCCAAATTTGCAAGCTTGAAGAAGAGACGATTACACATATTTTGTTTGGATGTTCTTTAGCAGCTCAGGTTTGGGTCAACACGAGTCTACCCTTACCGGATCAAGGTTTCTCTGCAGCCATTGATGAAAACATTGACTATGTCATGAAACTTATGGTGAAAAGTGAATTACCTTAACACATAAGGCAGGCGATTCCTTGGATACTATGGGAGATATGGAAGGTACGAAATTCTACTCTATATGCTGACAGAAGGAATGATCACAACATTCTCCTAGCCTCTGCTATTGAAGACGCAGAAGAATGGATTCAACAAAATAACATTCTTTTGCAGGAAGTGAAGAAAGAGAACCATCGACACAGGAGCGGAGTCAATAGATGGCTTAAACCGGCGGTATGAGTATTAAAGTGTAATGTGCATGTCTCCTGGGTGAATGACAAGGCTTTTTGTGGTGGTGCGTGGCTTTTACGGGATCAGTCGGGTCAGGCTTTGCTTCATGCTAGGGATGCATTCATGCCAATGGTGAACCATATTGCGGCAGAGTTACATGGTTTACTTTGGTGTTTACAGAGCCTTCGTGATTTACAAATTCAATCATGAGAAATTTGGTCAGATTGTGGGGCGGCAATTGCAGCGATTGAGTCTCCGGGAGCATGGCCTAAATACCGCTCGCAGTTGGACAAGATAACTACAGTGATACAGGAGATGCGAGGAATTAGTTTCAAACTCTCTCCACCGAAAGCCAATTTATTGGCTAAGGATATCGCTTGTAGTGTGACTCGCGAAGGCCGTCTTACTTCGTATTTGGCGTCAGGTGGTCCAGCATGGTTGCATAATCGACTCGAACAGGATCGACTTTATGGGAGCTAAGGCTCTGTTTTTATGTTTTGCAACTCTGTTTTGGGAGTCCTCTGTTCTCTATGTTTTATGTGGTTCTTGTATTTTTTATACCTTTCTCGTTTTTAATATGATTACTCAGCGACAAAAAAAAAAAAAACGATGTCGTTTCGATTTAATGGAGATTCTAACGGAAAGTTAACCCCGCTATCGTCTCGTTAACGGAAATTTAACGACATACCCGAAATGGCCAAGTCAACGAAAACTTAACCATTTAATTAAAAGTCAAACTTAACTTTATGATTTAAATGATATTACGAAAGTTCATGTTTTTTTTGTCCCAAATTTGAAAGTTCGAGCATTTTTCGACAATTTTCCCGTTTATAAAAGGTATATTAGATATTTACATAAATAGATACAAGAAACCGAGGATATACAGTAGCCCCGCTTTAGCTCGATAATTCCCGGTTTACTCATAAGGCCCAACCCAAATATTGGAGAACCGTATATAATGGGCTGTGATTTGGGGACTGTTTAATGTCTCATAATTTATATATCTTTTGTAAGTCCGATTTGTGGGAAAGTTCTGAAAACACTCGTCCCTCTGCTCTTTTTTGTTTCTTCCTCTTATGGAGTTCTCGGTAAGATCGAGAACGATATCTCGGAATTAAGAGACTTCTATCTGCTTAATTTTCTCATATACTTGAGAAGTAGGCTTAAGTAGTAGTATTTCATCAACGTTGTTGCTGAATTTTTCTTCATTTTCTTGTCAATTTGATGCATTATTTTGTGAAGTTACGTTTTGTAATTTCTGGTGACTTCTTGATAATCGTTTTGTAATTTCAGGAATTGCGGCTCTGATACAGAAATATCATCTCTTCGAATTCTTGAGGAAATTTTCTTGATTTACTTGTATTTTCAGCTATCGAATCCATCTTAATCTTGGTGTTCGTAACTTGTTACTTGTTAGCAACGTAAAAATCAACATCTATTGGGAATAATATTTCACGTGACGTATTTGTCCGAAAATGGGAAGATTGTTCAAGATGGATCTTGAGGGACCTCTATATAAATGCAAGCACTGCCAAGTAGAATTCTTTGTTTACGATGATCATCCTCTAAAAACGGTTTGATTTCTATTTCTTGCTTTAGCGAATTGGTGAAGTCAGGAAGATCAATATTTGATTAGATATAATTGGTTTGTGTTAGTATTCAACTGAAATCTAGTTTTCAACCAACATCGAGAATCTGATATTTGATATTTGTGTGTTTTGTTGCAGAGACCGTTCATTGAATATCCGACCAACCTTGAAAAACTATTTTTCTTCATGAAATGGTAAAATAATGCTTTGAGATTATTCATGTTACTTTATTAAAAAAATTCTACATTTAAAACCCTAATTGCTCAAATGGACCTTTATTTTGTGATGGGCTCAACAACTTACACCCCAATAAGCTCTCTCTCTCTCGGCCCATTGTATATCTTCTTGGTGTAATCTATCCAAAACTTTGGTCCAAGTTTGAATCACTACAAGAAATATGCACATTGTTAGCGCGGAAAATATGCTATCATACATATAAGATAGCGAATTCAATAATGCTATGACATCAGCACCTATAATAGGTTTTCGATATACGATAGCATATTTTTGAATGCTATGATATATCCAGATACTATAGCAAATTTACAACGCTGTAATTAATACTGATATAGCACATGTATTTTTGTTATCATAGGGCATTCTACAATAGCAAGTCTATACTGCGATAATATTTATTTGTGTAGCTTAATGTTTAGTGCTATAATATATGGTGATACAATAGCTCTTGAAAATTGTTATATATAATTTAGGAATCAATTACAGAAAATGTCCTTTTTTACCGTGGCATTTGTTGCCCTTGTCCTTTTTTGCACAGTTTGTAGATTTATCCTTTATGCAGCCTATTGTTTTACGATTTTACCCTTTGCGACTCTTCGTCATCAATTTTTTTTTTTCGCTTCATCCGTGCATTTACTCAGCTACCCGAGACGTCAGACAAACCAACCGTGTAGCCATAACTCTCTGTTTACAGCACAGTAAATCATTACTTTCCCTCTCCACTTTGCTTTCTCTATCGTCGGGGAAAACAAGGAGCTCACCGCCGCATCGTCCGTTCTGGAGTTCCAATTTGTAGATCTAAAATTCGTCGGCAAAGCTGCAGCTGGTAATTTAATGGAGCTTTACTGCTGTCTCCCTCTCGCCATTGCTAATCTGCTGGGTTCCGCATCGTTTCTCTGTGTTTTTGCATGTTCCATATAACTATCTACAGTCTTCTTCCGACATGGATAGGGTTTAGGTTTCATACCTTATGGGAATGATCTCTACCTCGCCGCTCGCCGGTGGATATTGTTGTTTCCGTTTAGGATATGTGGCATTTATTGTAAAACTTAAGATTCATGGTAGCTAAGTTGCCTAAACACCCATGAATTTCCTCTGTAGTTTCTGTCTTAGTTCAATTGATTTTGTTACCTATCATGCAAGTGACCCCAAAAATGATATTACTATCATTTGTAGGTTCTGCCTTACTTCAATGGGTTCACTTGGATCTGGAGCTTCTCCCTCTGCTGGACCTGGTTTGTAATTCTGCGACCTGTCCCCCTCCCTTTTTTCCCATTAAGTATCGTTTACATCTATACTTGGGTTTAGTCATCATGGCTTTCAGGCTTTACCATAATCATATACATTTCTGCTTGGGTTTAGTAGTGCCATGTCTCTTAGGGTTTAGTACCCTAGAGGGTTTAGTACTGTCAATGTTTCTGCTTGGGTTTAGTAGTGCCATGTCTCTTAGGGTTTAGTACCCTAGAGGGTTTAGTACTGTCAATGTTTCTGCTTGGGTTTAGTAGTGCCATGTCTCTTAGGGTTTAGTACCCTAGAGGGTTTAGTACTGTATATATTTCTGCTTGGGTTTAGTAGTGCCATGTCTCTTAGGGTTTAGTACTGTCAATGTTTCTGCTTGGGTTTAGTAGTGCCATGTCTCTTAGGGTTTAGTATCCTATAACTTTGTATTCAGTTTTTTCATACACACTCTGCTTCCTGTTTTGAGCTTCAATGTTTGTTCTTTTTATATTTTCAGGTGTTCTCCCTGAAAGAATTTTTGCTGTTGATTGCTATCCTTCTCATGCAGTTCGTATCAATTCTTATTCAAAACCTAAGTACCTGGTTGATATTTTGAATGTTCTGCATGGTATGCCAGAGTTGGAGACTCTGTTGTCCTCCCCTCTTGGTGCCCTCTTCTCTCTGCCTGTTCGTCAATGTTCTTTTTCTGGCCAACTGGTTCATCAGATGCTCTGTAGACAGTTGCATACAACCAATGCTGCGGAAATGTGGTTTGTTTTTGGGGGTCAGCCGTTGAGATTTTCGCTAAAGGAATTTCATGATGCCACTGGGTTGTCTTGTTGTGATTTCCCTCCACAGTCAGAACTTGAGCCTGCAACAACTCATGCTGATGGTTCTTCACCTTACTGGTATCAATTAATTGGAGGTACTCCTGGTGCTGTGACAGTTAAGGAACTTCTTGCCCGTCTTAAACAGGAGCCTACTATGGCCAGTTGGCGTAAATTCAGGATTTGTCTGGTTGTTATTGTAGAAGGTATTTTACTTTGTCGCTCTCAACCAGTTAAAGCATCTGTTGAAGTTGTTGAAATGGTGAAAGACATTAATTTCTTTCTTAAATATCCTTGGGGAAGACACTCCTTTCACCGAATTCTGCGTACTGCCAAAGTTGGTTCTTATATTCTCGACACTGCCTCCCTTGTAGCCAAGCTTAGACAATCCTCTGTTGCAATACATGGTTTTCCTCTTGCAATTCAGCTTTTTGCTTTCAAGTATATCCCGTTGCTGCTTAAGTACTTGCCTCATGCTGGAGAAGAGTTTAATTTCCTTGACCAAGTCATTCCTCGTCTTCCTAAGTGCAAGTCATACCATTCATCAAACATTCTGCATGTAGAATATTCACGACAAGTCTGTCCTTCTTCTTTCACTGTTGCATAATTAATTTTTTTCTCTTTCGTAATAGCTGATCTTTATCTTTCCTTTGTGCAGCTTTTTGTTTTGCCTCCAGCATCAGGTGATGCTGCATTTCTCGCGTCTCCGCATTGCGACCCAAAGGTTAAACAGTTAGAGGGCCTTATTGCATCAACTTTTAACTTCGATAAATCTATTTGGCCTGGTGGTGATAGCTCTCTACCATCCCTAAGGTCTTCCCGAAAGCGTAAATGCAACCATTGCCAGTCTGATAGCTCAAGTTCTACTGAAGAGCCAGATGCCAAAAAGGTTATGCGTGATCTGCGGTCTCGTTCTAAGTCGAAGGCTAAACGCTCTCAGACACTGTCTCAAAAAAATGTCAAATCTTTGAAAGCATCTCTTATTGTTGAAGTTCGCGAGCTTATTGACAAAACTCTCCATGATAATACAGTTCTGTCAGCGACTGTTAATGTTACTTCTCCTGTTAATCCTGCATCTTCTTTGCCTCGGCGTGTCACACGCTCTGCTTCTACTGCCATGTCTGTAGAATCAGTTGCTAACTGTTCTACCGCGCGGAAAAAAAGCTCCGTTGCTTCTGCTAAACTTTCAGCTTCGGCTCACACTTTAACTGAGTCAGCCCATAATGCGCTCCCTTCTCCCATTAGAAATCCCTCTTTATCAACTGCTTCCTCTCAAGGTTGTACTGGCTTTCGCAACTGCCCCACTGGTGCCCCTCCTAATGTGGTAAGGATTACCTTGGTTCTCTTTTCCAATGCTTTTTTTAATTGCTTGTACTAATTCTTTTTTTTCCTTATCTAGCCTGCTTCTCCTGCCGTCAGTGGTAGCCATGCCCCTGCTGTTATTCCCTCTCCGGCAACTTATCCCGTTTCATCTTTGTGTCCAGACAATATAGTGTTTACTGAGGTTATTTAATGGTTACCAATTGTTCTGCTTTGCTACTTTCCTTTCATCTTCCCACAATGGTACTTACTGAATTTTACTTGCTTTGTTTATGTAGAAAGCTTTGCGCTGCCCATCTTTGCTTCATGAAGCAAAGAAGTTAACCCTCGAATCCTCCTGCATTCCTTCTGCCAGTGATCAAGGCCCTGCTTCTAACCATGCTCCGGAAGTGTCAAACCCTCATTGTCCTCACCCCTCGCCCTATTTGTCCACTACACCGGGGGTTAGTTGTTTTCTACTGCTACTAATTGTCTCTTACTTGTTACACAGTCGGTTTACTTCTCTTCTTACTTTTTTTTTTCTCAGGTTGCCGCAAAACATAAGAAAAATCTGCTTCCAAACCAGCTTAGTACGTCATCCACACAGCTGAAAGATGTATGTGCCTTGAACAGTACAGCGGGACCTAGCCCTTTGTCCTCACCTGTTAAACATTTGCTCCAAAGTACTTCCCGGAAAACAATGACAAGGAGCCAAGCTCGCATAGCTTCACTTGCTTCTGCAAAGTGTAGTCAACAGCTACTGGTTTCTGGCCCTGCTATGAATCTTCGTACCAAGAAACAAGCTCCCAAGCCTCCTGTTGGTGACAGTTCTGAATACATTTTAAGTACACTTGAAGCTATAAACTCTCCAACTGTTTCAAAATTTTTAGTCAAACTTTCAAAGCTTCAGGGCAGGTGCAGCATATTCTGGAACTCTAACGCCTCAGTTAACTGTCTCTTCTATACCATATTATACATTCATTTTCTTACCATGTTTGTTTTGCAGTGAATACACTATAAATGGTCAGCGATACCCTGCTGCCTTCTTCTCTGAGATATCTAAGCCTCAAAAGTGGGTTTCAAGCTTGGTCAGTCTCATCTTCTGCACATCTCATTAGTATTCTTCATTTCAAATCTTACTCTTTCATAGTTCTTACTCCCATTGTCTCTGATCTCCATTGTTTTTCATTGCAGCACATTGACTGTATTGTCAGCTTCCTTTGGAAGAAACATGGTGCGTACCTTGCATCACGGAGAATTACACTTCTGGACTCCATGTTCACTTCCATTATGAGCAACAAATTTATGAGTTTCAGCCAGAACCTCAATACATCTGCCTATGCTTGGAACCCTCTTCTGATTGCGTATGCTCGTGGTGTAGTAGATGGCCGTCCTTCCCAATTGGCATGGCTCAAAGATGTTGACATTGTCTACATGCCGATGAATTGGGGAAAGAGACACTGGGTTGCCTTAGCCATAGATCTATGTCGTGGTCATATTGACATCCTTGACCCCTTTGAAGACTGCACTCCTCAAAGGAAGGTCGTCTCATACATGTCTCCTATAGCTCAAATGCTTCCTTCTTTGCTTCAGTCTCTTTCAAATGATGTCCCTGCCACTTGGCCATCAACTGGCTTCACATTCATGCGAGTCCCTCATCTTGCGCAAAATGACCGGGGTGGCGACTGTGGCCCGATGTCTCTTAAGTTTATTGAACTCCACTCACATCAGCTCACTTCGTCGCTTCAGCACCTTACAAAGAAGCAGGTTGACAGCATCAGAATGCACTACGCCATGGATCTCTATGCGGAATATCTGTCCTTGTCTTGATTGTTTTCCTGTTTCTATTGGCATTTTTCTGCGTTTACCAATATGTGAAGACTTTACACTTCCTCCCCTTAAGCTCTGTACCTATGCTGTGCTTCTACTACATTCCCCATTCTGTTTTAACTCTTCTCACATGTACCTATTTCCCTTCGTAACTTCAGTTCCTTGTATTTATCCTCTTTCGTGTACTTTTATGACAATGGTTTATGGTTTTAGCTCATGTTGCAATATACCTGATTTTTCTTGCCATAAATGTCAGAGCTCCTCACCCACTTAGCTATTAAACATTTATTTGCTTGCTACCAGTGCCTACATGTTTTGCCTTTAAAAACAGATAATCATTCACACTTTCCTTCTACCACAGAAGAAATGGAAAAACTGGACATCAACATTGCTCTAGATATTGTCTCACGTGTTGGTGAGGATTCGTTTAAGGCTCTTGGGGGTATGCTGCTGGCTTCGAAATTCTACCACTATCTCGCATCTCATCCTATTGTTCTCAACAATGTCAGCCTTCAACCCTTCCTTGCAGATGCAAGCCTTATTAACGAAGACTCTATTTATCGTCCATTCTTCCGCCTATGTTTGGACTCTCTTAATCCAACTGCTGCCTACCTTGAAAGCATCCGCCTTGCTGCAAAACTTGGGCGTGCTGAAGATGCTCTTCGGTTGTTATACTCCTCTGGCAATAGTCCACCTCAAGCCTGGTTCTCACGGGCATTATTAGAGGTTTGCCTCGGCTTTTACCAAGAATCAATTGCCACAATTGATAGCTTCATCTCGTCTGTTGGTTCATTCCGTCAAGCTGATGCTATTGGTAGCACTGTCTTTAAACACATAATGCAAATTGGTCCAGTGAAGATTCGTTCGCACGCTAACACTTGGCACTATGGTGACATCCCTACATGTTTTGCTACTAGGTGCCGCATTGACAGACGTTGCAGGCAGTGTTTTTTGTATTGGTTTAGTGTTATGTACCTCCTTCTTTGTTAATCTCTTTTCAAGATCTTATTCCTAAATCTTTTTTTTCTTTTTCATTTTTGTATCTTGTATGTGACAGTTCCAGTAAAAGCAGTTCCTGTATCTACAGCAACGCTTACACCTTCTGGTTTCCATATCATTTGCTAGTTTCAAGGCACTTTACACTGTCACTTTTCCTTGACACAACACGCAAGGGAACACACAGCTTTTAATTACCACTTGCTGCTACTGTGCCACCTATATCACTTAATGTATGTCATTGCACGCTTACTCCCCACCTGCATTCCAACTCCAAATACGTTCCCTCTCTTGCCTCTAATTCCCTATTTAATCACTGTTGTTCTTTCTTTCTCCTGCAACCTCAGAAACGCAAACTCCAAAAAAATGAACATTATTCCACATCCTCTGCTTCTTGACATTGTTCGGCGTCTCTCCCAGCATGGTTTCAGAGAGTTAGGTTCTTTGGTAGCTGCTGGACCCGAGTGTATGGCCCTTGCCTTTGACGAGACCGTCCTTGCTGATGTCGATATTGATGAATTCGTCTTCGCACCACATCTGGCAAATATTGGTTCTGTCTACAGGCAGTTCTTTTTACGGTGTTTGGACGCTGATAATCACTCTGCCCAGTTCGTTGAAGGCTTACGCCTTGCTGCTGAAGCAGGTCCTTCCCAGCTATCAATTGATCTGTTAGGAGCTGCTGCTCCACACATGATATATGCTAGGTTTGCCTTGGGAATTGTTCTTGTTTGTTGTGGTTCTTTTGACCAAGGTATGGTGGTCATGGAATCATTTTTTAATCTTCTTCCTAACATTCCCGAAGCAGTTGAGATTGGTGAAATGTTTCTACATCAAGTTACATCCCTGAGATTACCAAGGAGTGGTCGTTATGACAATACCTTTCGTTTTGGTCCTGGTCTGCCTAATTGTTTTCTGAACAATTATACGGTGTTTTCCCTTTGTCGTCGATGTTTTGTTTACATGTATGCAACTTGCTTTCGCGAGCTATGCTAACTACATCCTATTCTCTACCTTGTACTCACCCAATAAATAAAGTACCTGCTGTTTTCCTTTTACACCAACAGAAGCCTTTTTCCATTAATACTTTAAGGGACATACATGCGTAGTTTGTTTGAGCATCAGATTAATATATGGGAGATTTGCATGTTAAGGCACTTCTAGAGAAAGATATTAGACTTTAGACACTTTATAAAGTAGAGGCACTTTATCATTATTTCGGAGACAACGTATGACGCTTCTGCCCCTCCGTAAAACAAATAAACACAAACTTTACATTAATTCATGTTTTAATATAGATAACTATACCCTAGACCATACTTTGTTAACCCAAGCAACAAAATGTATACCCTAAAACCAAATTATACAATCCCTAACTACTACTACTTTATATTAATTCATGTTTTAATATAGATAACTATACCCTAGACCATACTTGGAGAACCCAAGCAACAAAATCTAAACCCTAAAACCAAATTATACAATACCTAACTACTACTAGACCATATTTAGAAAACCCAAGGGAAAACCGTTCGCTTGGTTTCTGATTATCCCAGTTGGTGATGGACTGTTTTGTTTGGACAACCAATAAATAAAACTATACCCTAGACCATATTTAGTAAACCCAAGCGAAAATATTATAATTTCGATTTTAACATCATAGGAATACGAAAACTAATAATACTAAAATATAAACAATTATTGAAATTTTATAGATTTTTCAATATAGAAAACTATACCCTAGACCATATTTAGTAAACCCAAGGGAAAATATAATAAATTCGATATATACATCATAGGAATACCAAAACTAATAATACTAAAATATAAACAAGTATTGAAATGTTATAAAAATTTCAATAAAGATAACTTTACCCTAGAATATATTTAGTAAACCCAAGGGAAAATATATTAATTTCTATTTATACATCATAGGAATACCAAAACGAACAATATTGAAATTTTATAAATTTTTCATAAAGATAACTATACCCTAGACCATATTTACTTAACCCAAGTATATTAAACGTAAATGTGAAATTCATATATTATGAAAACCTTGTATAGACACTTTTATTTAACTAAACTTCTATAATACTCACTAATAATTATAAACCGTTCGCTTGGTTTCTGATAATCCTAGTTAGTCGTGGACTGTTGTGCTTGGACAACGAAACTCGTATCTATAGACGCAACGGTTCATTGATAATAAAAAGTAACCATTGCATTCAATATTGATCCTTATTTTTGGCTTTT